TCTATTAAGCTAATCCATCAACTTTTGCAATATCTGCCAACATCAATTCAATTCACGTGCTTGAACCAAAATTAAAGGGTTGGAAAGAGAACGTTTGTATTGCTTTTGGTGGCATAGATCTAGACCTTGCGTTAAAAAAATGAGGATGCATTGTAAATAAATAATTTTCAAAAGTGGATTGATATCAAAAATAAAAAAGATAAAGTCCATGAAAGACAATGACGTTCGGGAACTCATCCCATTGCCGAAAGGTGTGAAACACATTGATTGTAAATTGATGTTTAAAATCATGAGGGATTCGAAGGGTAATGTGGAGATATAACTCGTCTTGTTGTAAATGGTTTTATTCAAAAGGAAGCATTGGCATTAAACAGACTTTCTCTCCGATTTTTATAAAAGACTCTTTTAGGACAATGATGGCATTTAAGCTACGTCGGATGATCACAAATTAAAGAAATCCATTTGTGGGCTAAAGTAGGTTTCCCGTCAATGGTATCACAAATTTCATCAAATAGTTATCTCGTTAGTTTTGAGATAAATTAAGTGATGATTGTGTGAAACACAAGTTTGGTGGGAGTAAGCATATTTTATGTTATTGAATGTTGATGACATACTGTTTACCTGCAATGATATATGCTTATTGCACAAAAAACTAAGAGATTTTTGTCATGAAATTTTGAAATTAAAAATCTTAGTGACGCATTTTTTGTATTAAGGATACAAATACATCGGGATCATTCTCAGAATATTTTTTGGATTTACAAAAGAGTTATATGGAAAAGGTTTTTAAGAGATTTGTGATGCATGAATGAAAATCAGGTGATACCCCTATTGTTAAGGGAGACAACTTTAGTTTCAATCAATGCCCTAAGGATAAGCTTAAAGAAAATGAATACGGAAAATTCCAGGTGCTTCAGCAATTTGGAGTTTAATGTATACTTAGGTTGCACGCATTCGAATAAGGCATTCATTGTTGGAATGTTGAACAGATATTTAAGTAACACTGTGATGGATATTTGGAAGACAACCAATTAGGTTATTCTGTATATAGAGAATTAAGGATTATATGACCACATACAAGAAATCAGGCTAGTTGGAGATCATTGGATATTCTGATTCTGATCATCGAATATGACTGCGAAATTTTGTCATTGGGTAGCACATTTTCGATAGAATTAAATGACTACTTTAAGTTATTCTGTGACAATAGCAGTCTTGTTGCTCAATAAGAACTTGACGATGTCGAAGTTTATGGACATCCATTTTCTAGTTATTAAGGAAAGAACTTAAGAGTTGTTAGGTTTTTATAAAATATATTATGACAAACTCCATAATTATGAATCTTTTTACTAAATGGTTGTCATTTAATGTCTTTCATAAGCATAATGCTCACATGTGTATTGTATCTTTTGATGATATGTCAGTTTAATAGGAGTTTTTATTTGAATGTTGTTTGTTTTAGACACATATTTTTTTGTATAAATATTCAATTTATTTTAGAAATAAAGTATTTAGTTCAGATTTATTTTGATTAAAATTAATAGTTGATCTCATTAAAGAATAAG